CTTCCCACTCCTGAGGATTGAATATTCTTAGATATTTTGTCACAAGGACAAGAAAGCAAATTCTCCCTCCTATGCTTGACCACCAGTATAATCAGCATCTTAGGTATCTTTACAGACCTCTTCCCTTTTTAACACAAGTAGTAGCAAATCATGCACATTTCTGCATTGTGCTTTATTCATTTAATAATATCCTATTTATACATATATATACACCTATCATATATACCTATATAATTATTTTTAATGTCTGTATAACTTATTTATCCACTTTCTCATGTTAGGCTAAACAGACTTTTTTTTTTAAAAGGTATTGGTGATTGAATCCAGGGCCTTCACACTGAGCTATATCCCTAACTATTATTTATTTTGTATTTTGAGACAGGGTCTTGCTAAATTGCCCCAAGCTGGCCTCGAATTTGTGATCCTTCTGCTTAAGCCTTCCTAGTAGCTCGGATTATAGGCGAGCACCACCACACCAGACTTAGTTAACTTTAAAAACTATTTATTTATTGTGGCAAGAAACCACGTAATATAAAATATATCCTTCCACCAGACATTTTCCAAGTGTACAGCATATTATCAACCACATGTACACTGTTGTACAAAAGGTCCCCAGAACTTCCCCCATCCTGCTTGACTGTAATTCTACACTGACCAAACAGCCCCCCCCGCAGCTCCTGGCAACTTTCTGTTTGTACTTTGTATGAGTTTGACTATTTTAGATATTAAATGAGTAGAATCACACAGTATTTGTTTTTTGTGTGTGTGACTAACTTCACTTGGTGTAATGTTCTCAAAGTTCATCCATACTGTAACATGTGACAGGATTTCCTATCAGGGAACCAATAGCAATCAGCCAACTCCCCTGTTAAACAATGTAAGAGAGAGCACTGAAGTGGGAACAAGGCAAAAATCACAACCCGAGTAACTTGGTTTTAAAGACTGAACTGTATTCCATTGTATGTATACACCACATCTTCTTTATCTGTTAAACATTGGATAGACACAGATGACTTTTGAATGTTTTTATTTTGAGACAGAGTCTCACTAAATTGCCCAGGCTGGGCTTGAACTTGTGATTCTGCTGCCTCAGCCTCACAGAGTGCTAGGATTAAAAGCATGTTACCACCACACCACCACCATACCTGACTCTGTTTTTTTTTTTTTTTTAATAGTGGCCATCCTGACGGGGTAGGGGAGTGGGGAAGTGGGGAAATGACCTCTCTTTGTGGTCTTGATTTGTATGTTCCTCATAATTACTGATGTTGGTATCTTACATACTTGTTGCCCTTTTCTTCATCTTTGGAGAAATGTCTATTTTCCATTTTTAAATAAAGTTTTTGTTGTTTTTATTGAGTTGTAATTGTTTATATATTCTAGATATTAACTCATCAGATATATGGTTTGCAAATATTTTCTCAGTGTATAGGTTGCCTTTTCACTCTGTTGATTGTGTCTTTTGCTATACAGATATTTTTAAATTTTATGTAGTCATATTTGCCTATTTTTCCTTTCATTGCCTGTGCTTTTGGCATGACTCATTAACTTTTACTACTCAGAGGGCCAGACTTTCCCCAGGGTAGCCTGGCTGTTATTTTTGCCTTATGTGCCTCAGTACTCTATCTTACATTGTTTACCAGGCATGTTGGCTGATTGCTATTGGTTCCCTGACAGGATACACCTTAATTTTTCTAGACTTGTTCAGAAAAATAGGAGGCCTATGAGAAGGGATTATTTTCTTCCATTTTCTGGCTTTTCTCCTTTTTGCTTCATGTTAGAAATAAGGTTTCTGATGGGGTTTCCTGGGCCTTCTTTCCCTTTCCTATCCATTTTGTGAGTGGGGTGGTGGCCTCTGAGCCAATGAAGTTGAGTACACAGGTTGACTTCAGACCAATGGGAGGCTCCTGGGTTCCAAATGAACCAATCATCTTATTAGGGATAAGATGGATAGCTAGCATCTGCCCTATTGTTCTCTCAGTAATGACCCTCTTGTTTTTCCTGTAAAGGATTTGAAGGTGCAAAATAAACCATACCCTCCAACCCCCCTCCCCATTTGGTGGCTTTAATTCATCTATACGACTTTTGTCCAAGGCCAATAAAACACAAGCATTCTCTTTGTAAAAAGAAAAAAGGGGTTAGATTTCCTTCAATTGTCTGCTTTCTTTTTTGTCTTCACTATTTTTGCTTTACTCTCTAGTGAACTTTACCTAAAGGACCTTTGCAGTGGACCCAGGCACTCTTCTCATTGGCATGTGCAAAGACCTTTTCTTACAACTTGGGGTTTGTGGGGCCAAGGGTGCCTGTGGCGGGAGAAGACTTTGGTCCTAGTCTCCTTCTGCATTTCACACATTCTGGGCTCACACTCCTGGTCTTTCTTCCCCTTTCCTCTCTCCCTCTCCCTCCTCTTCTCTTCTCTTCTCTTCTCTTCTCTTCTCTTCTCTTCTCTTCTCTTCCTCTCTCTCTCTCTCTCTCTCTCTCTCT